TCATAGTTTAGTTTTTGTTTCTGCAGCATGAGCCTGCACAAGCCCTCCCCCGTCTCCCCCCCCCCCAAAAAAAATAAATTTTACCTAAGTGCTGCAGTTCCAGTTTTGCCCACCAGAGGCTGCTGTGGTACTAGAACAGACAGCTGCATGAACACAGCCAGCTAATTTGGCACCAGAGCAGCACTTCTAGGATAGAGTATAGCTTCCGTGGTGGGGAGGGATTCTATGCATGGCCAGTGCTTCAGAATTCTCCCACGGTGCTGTTGGGGGTGTCTTGGACTGGGGCTCAAAATGGCTAGTGGGGGAGTGGAGATAAACTGTAGCATGGGCTCGGGAGCTGGTAAGGTGATGCTACAGTGACTCATGGGGATGGAGGAGGAGGCTGCAGGGACACATGAGTGTAGGGGCTATGAGGACAGTGTCAGATGCACCTGACTGAATGGGAGAGGCTTATGGTCAGTCAGGGTCTGAATGGGAAGGCTTCCCAATGCCTTAATAATCTCCCCCCCCACCCCCAAAAAAAAAACTCTTTTCCCACCTACACCTCCAGGCTCACTCCCAGGATCCATCTCTCTCCCTCTGCTCTTGTTACTCCTGACACCCAACTCCAAAGCCTTTGCACTGCTTTCGACGGGGGCAGGTCTGTATTGTAATGTAAATGAATTACTCAAAAGTTTGATATTAATATGACTAGTAAAGAATCTACTTGTCAAAAAATATGATCAGAATCTATTTTTCGTCTATATTGATAGAGACATACTTTCTGATATATTTTGAAATAAATTACCAAAATAATTGAAACTGAATAGAGACATAAAAAATGAATAAAATATTAACTGTGTAACTAATCAAAATGTTATCATTTACACAGTTCACTGTGGAGCAGCAGGCCCAGCTCGGCTGGCGCACCCTCCATCTGTGGTGTGTTGAGTCTGGCCTGGCTGGAGTGGCATGACATGAGTGGAGGACTGCTCTTGCTCGGCCAGTTGTCCAATAACTGGATAATGGTAAGCATCACTCACTAAGGGTGACGCTTACCAGGAAACCAGTTACCCATTTAAATCCCTAAAACTGACATGATTCTATTGTGTTATTTTGGCAAAATAAAATAAGCAGAATTTTTAATTTTTTGGCACAGAATTCCCCCAGGTATAAGGTTGAACCTGCAACCTTAGATCTGATGTTTCCTAACTGCTGAATGCTTGACTTTCCAATGCGTATTTTCATTTGTTTTTAATTCCCTAGATTTTTTTTAAAAGGAAAAGGGTAATACATCTTATTATGTTCTGCTGTAATCAAATCCTTCCCCCAAACACATAATTGAGTAGGATTTGATTCCTACGTATTCAGCACAGCTGGCACAGGGAAAAAACTTATCCCAGGGAGAAGTGAGTTACTGGCACGAGGTGCTAGGTCTTGGACATGTATTTTGGAAATGCATGGTCCAAATCACTGTCTTCTTTCAGGCCCAAGAAAGTGGAGAGAATTCTTTCCTCATAAGGTGGCTTCAGAGAAGAGGATGGGATACTGGTACCATTTGCTGAATCTGTGGATAAGGTTATCACAGGAAGCCCAATCTCTAGTTCTCCCCCTCTACTTCCTGGAAAGGCTGTGTGGGCCTCTCAGAATGTTCATGCTCAGTTACTGTTGTGGCATGTTGCCAAAGTTTTGCTGACACTTGATAGAAGGAAAATGGCATTTCAGAAGAAATAGACGTGCTGTAATTCTTTTTTTAAAAAAAGCTCTAAGATCTTTTATAAGGGAAAGTATAAGGCAACAAACTTAGGAGTCCCTTAATGGTGCTGTTACATAAATTCTTTTTCTGAACAAGAGCTCAGTGTAGACTTTGAAGAAAAGTGGAGGTTTTTTTAATGCATGTACTTTGGAGAAAGCTGGTAAGAGATTGGCTTAATTTCTTTAACTGGAAGCAAATCATAGTGCAAAGTTGCTTCTTGGGAAGTTGGGATTTGGGCTGAGATTTCTGAACAGGAATCACCTATGCATTGTTAAGGTCCTCCTCTGTTCAAGGATGGGCATAAATCGTGTAATAAATAAGTGCATTAAGGAAACACCCATACTTCACCTCACTGATTTCTCCTCCAAAAATGAAACCAACTTGCAAGGCCTGGAATAAGTTACTGCTCAGTTGAGACACAGCAGTACACTCACACAAAATACTCTGGGAACATATACATATGTAATTTCCATCTCAAGGACACACATCCATGCTCTCCTCTGACCCATGGCACTATAAATGGAAATAGCCAGTTTGTTGGGCAGCAGGACTTGCCTCCTCAAGTATGAACTTGTCTGAGAAGGTAGGTATGTCCAGCCACAGTGGACAAAGTCCTGCAGTCTTTACTTCATATAGAGTAAGGACTGAATAAAGAGGACAGAAGTTATGTGTCTGCTAGTCTGCAAGTAAACAGGTAGTGGGGTTAAGAGGACAGGCTAGGTATTCAAAGAAAGGAGGAAGGTGTAGTTCTATGCAAAAATACTTATTTGAAACAGCAATTTTGTGCAACTGGCACTGAAAGATTTGTATGGGCAATTACATGCTTTAACATGATCCAAAATCTGATTAGGCATAAGAAGTTTGCTTATGGGGAAAAAATTATGACAAATGTAAAACTAATCATATTTAAGATTTTCTGTATTTAAATTTTTTGTAGTCATAAAATGTATTTCCCTCCACTTCCTTTTCCCTATTCCCTTATGAATAAGAAGTGCTACCAAGGGTAACAATCCACTGCATACTAGGATAGCTCTCTACTAGCAGGAATTCAATCCTAGCACAGCTCCCCTTTACATCTGAGAAAGCAAAGAAAACTTTTACTGAAATACCCATTATTGACGTATATTTTGCATTTGGTTATATATGGAATTCTTATGTTTGTTTTTAAAAAATGTTGTAGGCAGATTGCTGATATTTACCCTCTGAAACTGGATTTACTGTTCCAGAATCCAAGAGCACATTAAACATACTCTCCGGTCCAGGGGGTAGGGATGTTAAATTTTGATTAATCAGCTAATCGAGTAGGCAGTGGAATTTGTCAATAAGGGCAGGGGCAGGGCACTCACTATCCCGGCTGCGCCTCTGCCTTTTAAATGTAGGAAGAGCTGTCTGTGGCTCATAGTACATTTAAAAGGGAGAGGTGGCAAACCGGGTTCCTGCTGCCACCCTGTCTTTTGAAATATAGCAAGAGTCCATTTCAAAGGCAGAGGCACAGCAGTTAAGAGTTGCAGCAAAAAGCAGTCTGTCTCCCCTGCTGCCCCTCCCCCCCCGCAGAAATGGTGCTGGGAGGAACCGGCTTTTAAGTTGGTTTCCTCCAGCACTGGCTCCTGCTCCCCCCCACCACTACCTCTGCTACAGCGGAAGCAAGGGGGGGGGATTGTAAGCGACCAGTCAACTTGACTACCCAATAAGCCTATGTTTATCAGATAGTCAACTAGTTGCTTACATCCCTATCCAAAAGGTGGGCAATGATTTTTGATGGGGGAGGCCCACTCAAAGATTTTTGAAAGTGATCAAGAACTGCATTTTTCCATTATATTAATGGAGGAGGTGTGGGATCTGAGATGGAGGTTAGATGCAGAAGGGAGTTTTCAGTAAGGGAGTGGAGTGCAGAGTCTAGGAGGGAGTTGAGTGAGGGAGGTGGTTGTGACCTGAGGCAGAGGACTGGGGTGCAGGATCGGGGAGGAGGTATAGATGCAGGAAGGAGGGCAGAGGGATGGGGAGAAGGAGAGATTGGGTGTCAGAGGTAGGTTCTGGCTGGGAGACTTACCTGGATGATGCCCAGCTAGCATCCCAGCAGGTTTCGCAGGCAGGACCCCAGCCTGCAACAGCCCCGCCCTCACCCCAGCTGCAGGGACCATGTGGGTCTGTTAATAGCTGCAAGCATGAGCAAAAGGGGTGCTTTGCACACTGCCTGGTCTTCAAACTGGCAGCTCCAATTGGCCAGAAGTCAGCCAATGGGATTATGTTAGTGGTAGGGGCCGTGCGCAAAGCCCCCTCTCCCCCGGTCTCACAGCTGAAGACAAACAGGGCCCCACAGCTGCTTTTCTAAGCAGTATGTGGGAAAGAGGGAGGGGCAGGGAGCCTGCCTGAGGCTCCATGATGTGTACACAGGACAGATCTGGCAGCTTAGTGGGACATATCAGGCCCCTAAGCCATATTTCACCCAACCCTGCTCTAGTCCTTGTGGATTATTAAAGTAATCAAAAGTGTCAGGAAACTATGGACAAAGGTTTGGGGGGGAAAGGGGGGAAGGATAATGGATGTGCCCACAAAAATGCATACAACTCCATTATGGTGACTGGAACATGCATTTGGGGGTTGGTGTGTTTAAAGCAGTGTGATACTTGGTCAGAAAGGGTTAAGCATCCTGCAGGATAAATGACCCAAATTCGAGTTTAGGGGCATATTAGTAGTAAGGTTTTGTTTTTGTATGTTTACATACATTGATAGGTTAACAATGTGACCATCTATACTATATTCATCTCTTTGAAGCATCTAGCAAGTTACTTGTGAATGATAGGCGATTGTCTCACATTAATCCACATAGCTAATTACTGGTGATGTCTGGGAGTCTCCATGTTTGCCTATCATTCACTTAGGAATCAATGGTCAAGAGGCTGCTAGGAAACTGTACTAAAGACTCTTAGAATCTGATCCTTTTTATCTCAGATCTGTTTATGCTAAAAATCTCATCTTCCTGAATTTCTACCAGTTCACTCTAATACCAATACCAGAAAACAGAAGAAATTCTGATATAATTTTGAACAGGCAGGCTTAATCTACCTGCATATCAAAACTTCTAACCTCTCCCTTCAACTTGACTCATCATACTAGATGTGGAGACAAAAACAACAAAACAAAAAACAGGCAGAGACTTTTCAAATTCCCAACAATGAAAAAGCTACTACTATGTTAGTATTCAGTTTTAAAGATCAACTACAATCATTTAGAAAGAATAAATGGAGTAGGAAAACTGATAAACTACATTTGGTAAACCACAGTAACCTGAGATTTATTACAAAGTTACCATATAGTACTCAATGCAATTTTTAAAAAAGTTTGATCTCAAAGAATCACTCTTTAAAATAATAGAAAAATAAAAACTGCACATATTTCTGTAGTTTAAACACTAGACAGTTTTCACCTACAACTCTGGCCTCACAAGAATTTTTTTAAATGAAATTCATGGATGAAACTATGTAGTCCCCTCTATGAGATTTGAGGGAATATTTTAACATTTGTTCCATGATCCAAGTCCCTTTATTTACATTAGTCCATCAAATTGGTACTTGTTAGATATCTTTGGACTGGTCATCTTCTTCAAGTTTCCTGATTTCACTCTTTAAACAGTTAATAGTCTCACGGCTTGCTTTTAATCTCTCTTTAAGCTCAGCAATCTCAAAACTGGTTTTCTTTTTGGCAGCTTCCAGCTTTTCCCTGGTTTTCACTTCAAGATCTGCAACTGGGACAGTGACAAAGAAAAAAAAAATCTTAGTGCACTAAAAAACTGCAATTACTCAATATAATATTCAAAATGTCAAGGCAGATGACAGCTGGCAGAACCTGTTTTCACAGAACCTTCACTATTGGTAATATACGGGCCCTAAAAGAATCCAGGACTTTCATAACCCATTTTGGAATTTGCATGGCTGGATATTGGGCTCTTACTGCCTTCTAAGTTATTCTACATGTCTCTGAGATACAGGGGCACAGAATCTGTCTTTACAAGTGTCCTTCAGAAACCGCAATACTGAAATCCCCTGAAATCCAGATCTTTAGCTTATGCACAAAAAACACTGGTAGAACTTACTTTCCCCACTTCTCTCTTTTTTGGACTGGTGGGGCAATCGAAATCTGAATAGAACACTGGATCTCCACTCCATCGCAAACACATCACCCTCTCCTATTTGTGGACTATTAAACAGCTTGTACCCCCAAGAAAGTTCTACTCTATCTGCTTCTACAAGTATTTGTGAGAAATGCAAATAAGGAAACATCTCTAATACTAGGTCTGTACAGCAATAAATCACTCATATGCATGCCTAGTAGAAACAAGTGATCCTTTTTTAGTTAAAGTGTCAAAATCCGACATGCTCAAAAGTAAAATAAAAAAACATTTTCTATTATCCAACTAAGCAGGGATGGAAGGTATCATAAGCAGGGGAAGGCATTGCCTTCCCAAACCACCAGGAATGCGCTCACCCTCGTTCCACCCCCTGAATGCCTACTGTAAATAAATAATCCTCACTACTCTTGTGAGATAATTTTATCTTATGTATGGTGGAAATAAAGTCTTAATAAGTTTCCTCTTCTGTAAAATACCTAAGGCAGGAAAGTTAAAATACCACTAGAAGGGGAATGCTGATATTAGAATCCAGCATTTTCTGATTTTCAGTTTTATGTACTCTCTCAAAAGTATCTGAAATGTAATTTGCTGTCAATTTTTAAAAGACAGACAGGAGGACAGAATCAAAGTGTTAGTGGCCTGGAGAGATCAGAGCAGTAGAGTTGTAGACAGTAAGATGAGATTTTGACTTATATGCTCTGTGTATGGGAAGGAAATAGGAAATCAGAGTCAAAATCTGAAGGAGACAATAGAAGACAAATAGCTGTATTAATATTGTCTAGCATAGTTTATTTTCACTTTAGCTCCATAATACTCTCAACCACTTGCTTCATGTAAAGTAAGCATTGTAGGCTGTAAAGGAAACAAAAAATTAGGAAAGAGACTGGATAGGGAAGTCACTCATGAAGGTTTGTTCTCTTAAAGTGCTCAGAGCATGAAAGTTTAAGAACTTTATTTAGAAAATAAGTAATGGTAATTATCAGGGCTCGACAAATAGTACAATCTACTCGCCTATGGCGAGTAGATTGTAACCTGGAAGAGCCGGGTTCGGGCAATCTGCGCATGCAGTTCGGCGAGTCCTGGTGATTATTCACTCCATCCAAAAACAGCTGCTGGCGTCTGATAAATGGGTAAGTATTACAATATTTAATGTTACTATTTCAAGTTTCATCTGAGTTCAGTTAATATCTCATTTATATGAAGGAGGGATGTTCACACCTCAACTCTATTGGCAACTTAATTCCTTGTGTTACTCTCTTGACTTTACAGGAATTACATGAAGGATTCAATTTCTATCAGCCCCCATACAGAATTTATCAGAAGTAAATAATCATGAAAAAAGGGCAAATCTGAAATCTTTAGATCTTAAAAATTAGTATATTACTCGCATTAATAAATAAGTCTCTAGATATGCAGCGATGTTTAAAAAAAAACAGCTTTTCCCACATAGAAATTTCACTTTACAGCAGCAGAAAAGGACAATTAAAAATGATTAACAGTTAATCTTAACTTCTAAAACTCACGTGTAACATTAGAATTGTTATTTGGCACTTACACTCTGTTTCATGCTTATAAGCTCCCAGCGTTAGCTGACGAGATGTTGTCAAGAGCTGCTGCATCATAGCAGTAGGATCTTGAAATATCTAATAGAGGAGAAAAATACACAGCTGTCATCAATCCCACTATTTAAAAACAAAACCTTTAACATGTTTTCTTTTCTTACCATCTCATCATAAAACTCAGAAACTACAGTTTTCTTTCCCAGTATTGCATTGGTGTCAGACTGAAACAGCTTCAGCAAATGATACAAAGTTACCTGTGCAAGGAAAACAGACCGAAATAAATAAAATATAATATGACCACTCTGATGGGAAAAAAAACCAAGTGATACACTAGAATGGAATTAAACATGCAGTGCTCTTTTTTCTGCGCACGAATATAGGATTTTTAAAAATCTGTAAGAATACAAGAACTTAACCTGTCTTCTGATATTGTTTAAGCTTTGACAGAATAATTGAAGTTAGTATTAACTGTTAAAACTACTTAAGCATCCTGAAGGCAAGTGATTAGCTGGATTTGGAAAGGATCTAGGAAAATAGAATGTAAGATTAACTAAGTTTGATCTACAGTAATTATCTTCCGCACAGCAACATCACATGTAGACATAATTATAGCATAACAGCAGTAAGTCAAAGCACCATACAGCACTTTACAGCATGATATAGACATGTCTACAAAGGATGTTGCAGCACAGCTAGCTAATATGCTATAGTTTCACATGCTAGCTTACTGTACTCTAGCTTACCACGCAGACAAGCCCTGAACACAAAAAAAGATCATGCGATTAATGTAGAACTCTATGCATACTAATGCCTACCAAATCACAGTTAGGAAGTGCTTCTCAATCCTGACCTACATTACCCCTTCTCATGGTAAAAGGGAAGAGGACCTCATAACAAGATCTTAATTAAGTTCTCCTTTAAAAATTTCTTTTCTAATGGCCTAGTCGGTTACCTGTCACCTCCCACAGAACAGGTTGTGAGCATATCTATATACCTTTGGCAAGGGTTATCCATGTGGAGAGAACAAGGAGTTGATTGAAATGATGTGAGTGCCATTAGCTAAGATCTTTGAAGAGTCATTGAAGACAGGCGAGAGAGTCCAGAAGATTGGAAAAAGGCAAATAAGGACAACCCAGGATACAACAGACAAGTCATCTTAACTTGTGTTTCAAGAAAGATAACGTAGCAAATAATTAAGGAATCTATTTGCAAACATCTAGAGGATAAGGTGATAAGTAACAACATGGACGTGCAAAGAATACATCATGTCAAACCAACCTAATAGCTTTCTTTTATCAGATAACAAGACTTGTGGATAAGGGAGAAGCAGCAGATGTGGAATATCTAGACTTTAGTAAAGCATTTGATACAGTCATGCACGACCTTCTCATTAATAAACAACAGAAATACAAGTTAGATAGGGATACTATAAGACAAGCGCATAACTGGATGGATTCTCAGAAAATAGTTATCAATGGTTCACAGTCATGCTATAAGGACACAATAAGTGGGGTTTCACAAGGATAAATTTTGGGACCGGTTCTGTTCAGTATATTTATGCTAGTAAACTGCTGATGGAGAGTATACTTAAAGTTTGCAGATGATACTAAACTAGGAAGGGGGTTGCAAGTGCTTTGGAGGCTAGGGTCATAACTCAAAATTATCTGGATAAACTGGAGAAATCATCTGAGGTAAATAGGATGAAATTCAACAAGGACAAATGCAAATTACTCCACTTGGGGAGGAACAATCTCTTTCACATACACAAAATGGGAAATAACCATTTAGGAACGAGTACTGCAGAAAGAGATCTAGGAGTCATAGTGGACCACAAGCTGAACATGAGTCCACTGTGACAATGGTGGGGGGTGGGGGGGGTGAGAAGCAAGTCTCATTCTGGGATGTAATATCAAGAAGTAATTCTTCCACTCTGTGCTGATTAGGCCTCAATTGTGTCCAGTTCTGGGCACCATATTTCAGGGAAAGATGGAGAATTGGAGACGGTCCAGAGAAAAGCAATCGACAATGATTAAAGTTTTAAAAAACATGACCTATGAGGGAACAATAAAAGAATTAGGTTTGCTTGATCTGGAAAAAAAGACTGAGGGGGGACATGATCACAGCTTTCAAGTACTTAAAAGGCTGTTAAAATGAAGAGGGAGGAAAAAAAAGCTCTCAAAAGGTAAAGGGAGAAAAGATATCCTATCATCAGAATGTAAGGTAAGCAGCAATGGGCTTAAATTACAGTGAGAAGTTTAGGTTAGAATTTAGGATAAACTTCCTGTCACGGTAGCTAAGCACTGGAATATATTGGTTATAGAAGTTGTACAATCTTCATCATTGGAGATTTTTAAGAACAGATGAGAAAAGCACCTGTTAAGGATGATTAAGATGGGCTTGATCCTGCTAAAAGTGCAAGGTTGGATGGATGACCTTTTGAGGTTCCTTCCAATTCTACTGATTCACAATGGCAGTGGCTCTAACCAACAAATCCCAACAACTCTGTCCCTTTCACTCCTTCCCTTAAGCAAATCTGTTAAGTACCATAGAGATGGCCGATTCCTGCTTCCAATTGGCAGCGTACATAATGTGGGACAGGGAAGGAAGAGAAAGACAATCCAGGTCATCTACTTTGATCTTAGTACTCCTAAAGACATTAGCCCACGTTTCAGCATGTTTATCTCTACTACCAGCTTTTAGTGACAGGGCTAAAAAGCCACTGTTTGTCAGCTCTCCTGTGGACCAAAAAAAGCCAAGAAAACCAAAACAAACAAACAAAAAAACAACCCACCCCCATGCTTTCACCCCTAATGAGTTAGCTTTGTCAGCAGGAGAGTGCTCCTGCATGTGTTCACCCTGGCATTTGTTGTCAAACATTTGTCTTTTGGGGGCAGGATAGTGGTGGTGTTTTAAACCACTCTGAAAGACAAAAATGTCCTCCTTTTGTTACCAGCATAGACAGTCTTAGTAGTAGAACTTTTTCTGGTCAGATGCATCCCATGTCCAAGTTTTATAAATGCATAGTACACTACACATAAAAGTTAGTTAAAAGCCAAAAATATATACTTACAGGTCTTTCATTGGGATCAATAAAAAATATTTTAATGATGATTTCAAATTCACCCCAACCTGTTTCAGTGATTTCATATGGTGGTTTAGTAACAACTGCAGGGGGGGAAAAAAACACACAGTGGCAGGAACACCGATGACTTAGCTTCCACATAATGAGAATATATGTGCAAGCCATAAAAACAAAAAACAAGCTTACCTCTTAAAGGATTACCATAGCTTTCATGTAATTTAAATTGAATTTTCTTCACATAAGCAGACATATCCTAAAATATAAACAATGTAGCCAATTATTTCCAAATATTAAAAACACACTGCACAGTCTCTCTCCTTATTTCTTTGCCTCCACCTACCTATCATGTTAGTTAAATGTTTACCTCATTAGTAATCTGCCAAAAGCAGACTCAGTACTAAAAAAAGCCCCATCATCTTTTGCTACATCTTGGATATCAATCTAATTTCTCCCCTGTAAGATCCTTGCAGCAACCGATTTTTTTCTACCTACCAGTCTATACAATTCACTTTTTATTCAACACTTACGTACACTTTTTTCCCCAATGGCAACTCTACATTTGTACATATTATCGCTACTGTATTATACGACAGATGAATAAGTTATTCTAGTTGTGCCTCTATTTTCTTCTTACACTGATACAGTGCTTAAGACCTTTGGTGGCACGTCTCCAATGACATTGTCATTATAATGTTTGCTACATTTTATCAGGTGAAGCCCCAATCTTGCAATTGTGCATGTGCTTAGGCATGCAGTCACTGTGATTACGAACATACTGAAATATGTTAAATATGAGTGTGTTTGCAGGATTGAGGCCTACAGAAACCCAAGTAATTAATGGTAAACATTGTAGTTCAGTTTCGCATCTTTTGGTCGATCAGCAATTTTTGTCTACCTCATTTCTGTAAGGCTTTACATAAACGGTCCACTGATGCGTGTGTCCATCTTCCTCTCTCTTCTTTCCAAAGTATCGTGCAACATTTCCATAAACTATAGGTTTCACAATAGTAACACCCTTTAAAAAAGAAAAAAATATCAGCATCTCAGAAGCCATTGGAAACCAATCATGTTGAGAAACAACACGATATACAACAGCTGTTATTTTTACTTCAATCTAAGGTATTCTACTACCATTTATATTCACTTTTGTTAAACTGGTATTTTTTCCATCGTGAAATCGGTGATTCTCCATCTGCTAGAGAAATTAAAGTTTCAGATCTGCACAGTTTCCCAGTGTTGAAGCTAGCGGTGGTAGAGGGGGGGCAAAAATGAGGAGGGTGAAAATGTAGTTTCCTCCAGCCCAGCAGTGATGAAGATTTTGAAACCTG